GGGAGATGAGAGCCTCTTGTATGCTGCTAAGGAGGCCCTGGGCTTTGCCACGTAGTTTTCAGTTAGCATTTCATTGCTCTCAGGTTTTTCCTATCTTTTTCCAGAGGATCAATCAAGTTTAGCAGTAACCATCTGATTTCATTATGCTTTTAGTCCCACTTTCTCCATAATTCTCAAACATCTGATACACAACATTCAGCTATTAGTGGTTAATCTACTACCAGCGATGGGATCCTCATTACAATCCAGGTGGTGAACGATCCAGCTCTAAAACCCCTTCTTAGTGGCTTCTGTCTGGGATTACATCTGGTCAGGGTTGCCAAATTTAACAAATATAAATACAGGACTCCCAGTTAAAACTGGATTTCAAATAAATAATTTTTAGTATAAATATATGCCATATCTGGGATGTACTTATACTAAAAAAAAAATTGTTCTTCATTGGACATTAAAATTCAGCTGGGCAGCCTGTGTTTTATCTGGCAACCCTACAACAGGTTGGGTTCCCCGGGAAGCAAGCTCTGAGATGGAGTTTAGCCAGAAAGGTGTCAATAAAGAGTGCTCTTAGTTCAACGCCTGTGGAAGGGCGGAGGAGAAAGGAGCAGAAAGGGCAGAGGAAAAGTCAGTCTGCAGTGTAGGCCCAGTGACACACTTGGCCGAACCATGGGGAGTTCTGGCACTAGAATGGCCCTTTAGAGTAGTTCCAAGCTGGGCTGAGCTGCCCAAGCCTTTATACTCGCGCATAGAGCAGTCGTTGGATGAGGGGGCATGTCCTGGGTGAATAGGTCTCTGTAGCCAACGCAGTTCCTGGAGGGGCAGATAGCTGAAGGCCATATGCTGACAGCACTCCCAGCACCAGGGGCAAGAAGTCTTTCCTGATATGGAATCCAAGTAGTAGTGAGAGCATCACAGTGTCCACTACATTTGTATAGAGGATTAAAATATTTTAGAGAAAACATATTTAAGGACATTTCCATTTGAACTCCTATGGATTAAGTGAAATCGTGTACAAATGGAGATCGCCTAGAAGAGACATGGACTATAGATGGTGAGCACCAAGTAGTAGCTGCTTTGATGTCTCTAGAACTGTGAGCCTGGACGGTTCATCCACTGGCAGTGGTAGTTCTTAAGAGTAACAGGTGTTACTGGACTTGCACACGTGTATCTGCTTCCCAGAACGTGATCATTGGCATCACTATGTTGACAACTTCTTTGCTGGGGAGTGCTCTTTGCCTGATGAGGCTGGGTTTGGTTCATTCCTCTAGATACAGCTTTTTAAAAAGGAATGCCTTTAAAAATATATTCAAAGTTAATTATTCTCCTTTTCCCATTACAAGCACTAGATCCTTCCTTTGGAAGTGGCAGAGGAAGGCGGAAAATATGATCATAAAGTCAGGAAACAGTGTCTCCTCTTGATGCGCGTTCTTGAGCTGTGATGCTGGGTGAATTACTCATCTTCTCTGACCTCTTTCTTAGACTTTAAAATGAGAGGGTTGGATCGGGTGTTCTATAAAGGTCCCATCTAATGTTGATCTTTTGTAATCCTATGGTGATGTATGTGGCCTCTTGGCAAATGAATTTGGGACACTGACAATGCCAGATTGCTAGTCACAAGAACCTAGCAATTTTAGAATTACTTGTTTTTTTTAAACTTTTTTATTTTAGAAGTAGTTTAACCACCACTTCTTAAGTAGCTCAGTTTTTGAGGCTGATCATAGCAGATTGCTTGGAGGGAAAAGCAGTGTGACAAATTAATTTCCTTCTGATTTTAAATCTTACAGTGAATGGCTATAAGATTGGATATCTTAGCATCACTTGCAAAGTCTGAATGATACAATTAATGGGGCAAGACTACTATTTTATCTATGGACTTTTCTTTCTCTTTTCGCTTTGTATTTTAATGACAGAAGTCATCAGCAATGCATGCCTGGGCCATGCGCTAACAGAGACACTTATAGCGAAGGTTATAAAGAAGCTCTATAGAATAGATCAAGGCAATAGGCTCTTGAACTGTTTTTTTTTTTTTCCTTCATTATTTGGGGGCAGTTTTATTGTAAATTTGTTGTATAACTAAGGGACCATCTTTTTGTGGTGTGAAGTGTTAACTAGCTAATCAGAGCAGCAGATAAAAATGATGCTGGATCAGAAAGAACAACAAGGTCAATCTGGTTCCCTGTAGGAATGAACTATAAAAGTAACAACTATAATTTATTCAGAATCACATATTTTTCAGAGCATTTCTCCTTCCACATGACAAATCGAAGGAGGTTAAGTAATATTATTGCCCACATTTTACAAAAGAAACAGAGGTTCTGAGGCATTAAGAGACTTGCCCAAATTCACACAAATCCAGTTTTTAAAATTTGTTCTTTTTTATTTATTTTATTATTTTATTTTTTATTTTTATTGGGGAATTGGGGGGATGGGAACAGTGTTGGGGAATTGGGGGAAGGGGAACAGACAAGTTGCTGTCCTTTTGTTCTTCAGTCTAGTTGTGGAGGACGTTGCTTCACTGGCCCAAGTTGGCACCATCATTGCGCTCTTCCTGGGCGAGGCAGATCAGTCGCCGGCTTCTGGACGGCCGCTCACTGTGGCTGCTGGCCGCTCACGCTGGCTGCTGGCTACATACAGTAGCCCATGGCAACCCACTGCCACAGGGACTGCAGCCTACGCCGTCGCTGGCGACTCATGGCAGCCCAGCTCCAGGTTGAGCTGTTGTTCAGCATCTTAGCTGTGGAGGGCAGTGTCACTGGCCCTCATATGTGGGATCCGAACCGGGGCCCTCTGGCATCCCAAGCAAGTTCTTAACCATCGCGCCACTCGGCTGGCCCTGTTCTTTTTTATTTTTTAGCCCCAAATGTTATGTCCTTTTCAGTTGCTTTGCCTATGCCAATAAATTAGCAAATCTTCATTGCATTTCTGTCTATGTAGTTCTAGTTATTAGTTTTACATTTTTCATGGTTTTCTATAGAGAAAACATAGTCCATGCCATGATTTTTCAGTATTCAGAAGGAGATAGCAAATTGCAAGAGTTTTAACAGGAGCAACCAATATAATTCTACCACAATATTTTTTTTGGTTGTTTTTTTCTTTTAAATGTTACATGTAAATTAACAAGAGGTAAAAATAACAATACACTTGTTTCAATATGTGATTGTATTCAGTGATGATTATTTTATTGACTAATTAGATTAAAGTTAAAGAAATTACAACCAAAAAAGAGACAGTCACCATTATTTGTTGTCCAAAATTGTTCAGAATCTGTGGTTACAGATTAGAAATTGTGGCCTTTAATGATGTGATACACAAGGTCAGCAGCTGAATGAAGACGAAAAAGCCCTATCACAAACTTATTCTTTAGATGGTTTCACATCAAATAGTCATAGCCAAAATCTACTCTCTGCAGCTGGAAAATGACACCTGGCTCTTCAAGAATTGTAGTCTCATTTGACTTTTCACCTTGCAACCTTGAAGGGACTAAAACTGTGATGGTGCCTAAGATCAGAAGCCCTTGTTTTAAAACTTTCACCCCAGAACTCTTTCTCTGTCATAACACCTGTGCTTAGTGATACCTTGAGACCATAACCACCTGCACAGCTTCAAGAGGAAATGTTATCAGTTGAAAGAAAATGCTTTGAAATAAGAGTCCAACCTAACTTTGAGGGTGGGAGGGTGGTTTTATTTACTTTCCAGTGGGAAGCTCTCTAAAGAAGAAGTAGAGAATTATCTGGCTTGATTCTGACATCAGAAGTGCAGATATTTGGAAAGCGCTTTAAAGCAACTTTGGTATAAGTGACAGTGGAAACTGCTAAAATGATATCTTGATTTAAAAACATTCGCAGTGAGCCCGAACCTTTTTTTTCTTTCTTTCTTTACTCAAGTACTGCTTGCAGGAAAGAATGAGTAAAATCTTAATTCTTTTCACTCTGTAAAGACAAACTTTCAACCATATTATAAAATTACCCATTAAACCTTGATCAAATTCAGTTGTCCTTATAGATTACATTGCCATAGAAAAAAAAAAAAAAAAAATTTCAGTATAAGCTTCTCTAGTAGTGAGCATATGATTCTTTACCCATTATTAAGGAAGCAAGATAGCTCAGATATCAAGCAAGACTGGGGGTTTTAAAACTTTTCCCTAAAAGGAATATGTGCTAATTTAATAACTAACTTCTTTGGGTCACTGCCTTATATATCATTAGTATTGTCTATATTACTATTGCTCACATGGTTATTACTATGAAGTTATATTCACATCCAGGTCCCCTGTATCTAGCAACAGCAACACACTTGTTTAAATGCTTTAAAAGACTAGCATTCACTAGACACATCCATCCTGAGCATGAAACTCCACTTTTTTACAAAACATGAATTTGAAAAGAGTATTTTTAAAAAGTTGTGATGACATGAAACAACCCATCTAATTACAAAGTGGGGGGGAAAGTTTCAAATACCCTTGAATTCTGAGAACACAACAAAAAGTTCCCTAATATCTTCGTAGGTATTTTCAGGGGTGGGGAGATTTAAATATTGAAATCTGTACATTCCCCTAAGTTTTAAAATGTGTCTATTAATAAGGTATAAAACCAGGACTCAGGTTCACTGAGAATGGATTTGGCGCCAGTCAAAAAGTTTCCGAAGCTCACCCCCAACATACACAAGTATCCAGTGAGGGCCAATTGCTGGTAAGTCGTTACATAAGAGTTTCCCTGGGTCCCCCTCCTCGCTGCAAGGCCCTAGTCACTTTCTAGATTCCTCTCTACTGTCAGTGGCCCTGCCTGGACTTCAGTGCCAGGTGAAGGATGTTTGAAGAACTGAGTTGGCAGGAAAACATACGTAATAAGAACATTTCAGAGCAAGTTAAACTGGAGTTATCTCCTGGCATTCAAGGGGATCAGATCATATCCTTTGAAACTATATTAGGGAAAGAACAGTTCACTAACTGCTTTTAGGAAGGCCACTTAATTGTATGCTGTTCTCACCCTTTCCCTTTACCAAAAATTAAATTACCACTTCTTGGTCTGGAACAAAAGAAAACAAACAGGCTCTGGTGAGTCAAGCCCTTCCAAGGCTCAGGCTCACTTTATATGCTAGATCGGGGGCCAGCAAACTTTTGCTGCGAAGGGCCAGAGGGTAAATATTTTAGGTTTTACGGGCCACTACCCAACTTTCTTGCAATGCTTCAATTCTGCCATTATAGAGCAAAGTAGCCACAGACTATAACACATACCCAAATGCATGTAACTGTGTTGCGATATAACTTTATTTACAAAAACAGTTGATGGACTGGCTGTGGCCTGAGGGCCATAGTTTCCCATCCCTGTTCTAGATAACAGCCACAACGGTGCCGCTCTTCGGAAAACTGCAACGTACTTCTCGCGGTTCTAGCTAGATTGAGGCCCCCACACACAGTGTTTAACTCTGAGAGTGGGTCCATAGCTGTGGTAGCTTCAGTGAGACCTGACGCTGGTTTATGACCCACAGCTGCAAACCAGCCTGATCAGAAATTGACAGGAACCTGGAAGGGCCTATTTCTGTTTCACTAGGAAACCCTGGCATGTAGCTAGCTGTTCCTGGCTTTTGCTAATCTTGGAACGGCAATCAGAAGGTCTTTCTGGTGCTGTGGTGACAGGTGCAGATGCCGAGAAAGGTAATAACTTATAGGTAACATGGTACCTCAGCAGCCTTAAAGGGTCAGTGCCGCTTCCACAGGCACCAAATACGACAAGCGTTGAGAAATTCATTGCTCAAGCAATTGGGCTGATCAACTCAGAGGTCAATTGGCTCAGCACATTGCTAAAAACCAAAAACCAAGACCAAATCTATAAAAGTGGTGAGAGCAGCAATAGCCAAGAGTCGCAAAATTCCCTACAAGTACAGAAAATCTCGCCCATCGTCTTAGCCAGCCCTTTCATCTTACCAGTAGAGAAAACAAGGCCTGAAGAGGCAGCGGTAACTTGCCCAGTGAGTTTGTGGAGGAATCAGCAAATCTCAGCCATTTTGACTTCCAATCTGTTCTTTTCCTCTGAAGAATCTGAATTTAAAGGGCATTTACCAGCCATATGCACACTCATGTCACGAGATTATGACAGCTAAGCACCTGGCTACCCTTAAAGACAGTTTTCTGTTGGGATAGAAATGGTGCCAGAGAACTTCTGAAATTTCCTGAGGGGAACAGAACGCATCCCATCACTGGTTTAATGTAGCTGATAAAAACCGCACAGGATAAAGCATTAAATGGCCATCTTCCCATGAATATAAATGCTTGTCTCTCATATTGTATGATAACATGGCAAGAACAGACTGGGAAGTTCTTAAATCAAAGTTTGCATTGATCTGTTTCCCTCCTAACAAATCAAAGGCAAACGTTATCCTCATATCTTTGGTGTCCGTGACATAGAGGATCCCTCGGGCAATGAAGGCGTTGCCGGCCTTGGATTTGGGGTACGTGGTATTGATGTGTTGCACCACAGAGAATGTCCTCTCATCCAACTGGGCTACAAGAATGCTCGAGCCATCCACAATGGAAGCATAGATAATCCAAAGGCCCTTTTCATCTACAGCTAGATTGAAGTAAGTCTTGGAATTGGCAAAGAGGTATTTTCGATCAAAATACAAGGCATTTTCAAGCTTCAGAGTTTTGGATGTTTCTTTGCCAAATTCAAATCTGAAATGTGTAAAACAAACAATAAAAGTATATGAGTCACCATTTTTGTGGACAAAGGTGGTTTTTTAGCCTCCTTTATTAAACTGGGTTGGGGCCTGTGATTCTGCATTTCTAGTAAGTTCCCAGGTCACACCTGTTCTGGTCCATCCCAATGCTATAAGCAGCGGAAGTGTAAAGGACATCTAAGTGTCCACCTATTAGCTGTGTGACCCCAGGGGAATTTCTTAACCTCAAGAATCCTTAAGTGTTTGCTGACCTGAAATGCCCTCTCAAAGATTCCTAGAGTTGCAGAGGGCTGCAAAAAGATGATCTAATTCAGTCCTTTCATTTTACAAATGAACAAGGAGAAGTGACTGGCCCAGGAAGACCCGAGTAAGTAGTGAGTTCACCAGGGTTTGAACTTAGGTTTTCTAACTCCAAGTTTGGGGGTTCTTCTTCCACTCTATGCTGGAATTTGAAGTAAAAAATTTCACAGCAGCCTCAATGAAGAAGAAAGTCAGCTGGAAGAGATGGAGCAGAGTCATGGCGGTGAAGTCAGCTTTTTTGTCTGGTACGTGACTGGATACATGAAGCCACGGCATGGAACCCTGTGCCCTCAGCTCCTAGGAGACCACCTGTTTGATTTGACCTACTACAAATCTAGACCGTATCAAAAAGTGAATTACGATTCAAAAGTTATCTCACTCCAGGAATGAAAATTCAGGGAAAAGGAAAACACTAGAGGGTGCCATTGGGCAGCAGCAGAAATGTGAAGCCTGTGACTCTGGGGATGTTCATAGAAGCATAACAAACCTGGAGCCAATTAAGAAGCCCTGAAGTAAGTTTGAGGAGAAACCAGAGAAGAGGGAGGGCTTGAGAAGGCCCTGCCTGCCCACCTCAGCTCACGGGGCTTGCCTTCCTCCGAACGCCTGGAGTTCAGGGCTGCTGCTGGGTCCTTGCCTGGTACTGCACCAGCAGCCGCAGTCCCTGTTGAGGCTGTCTCTCTCCACAAGAAAAGGGTCTAACTGGGTGTCTCTCCCTCTGCTCCCAGCTTGCGGCCTGGCACAGAGCAGGGCCTCAGGACAAGCCTCTGAACCAGGGCATCGAAGCAAGCTTAGCTTCCTTAGAAGATTCTTCCTTAAAGGGGCTAATCCTCTTTCTGGGGCTCATTCCCAGACCACCCCACCCTATTAAAAGCCCTATATAAATGGCAACAGGGAGCCACAGGGTTAAGTGAGGAGACATGGCAGGCAGGAAGGAGCATGTCTGGGGAGTGATGACTTTGGAACAGGAGGTGGGTCCGCTGTCCTTTTCTATTAGCACAAGACTCTTGCCCAGATGAGGTTGTTGGGGGCATGATGGGATGATGGGGCAGGCTGGTAGATGATGGGGTGAGAGGCAAGGAAGAGGACACTTCCAGCCACAGCTGACACGTGTCTAATGTGGCTGGTTTAACTGCATGTTATACTGGAAAGCCCGTCCCCATCCTAACCTGAGCACTCCAGTGAGAAAGCGTGTTGAGGCTGAAGAAGGCAGGAGGCAGGAGAGAGAAGATCCTAGTCCTCCCTCAAGGAGCTTGTCTCTTGTCTACAATGACTAGGACCTGGGCTTTCATAATACTGGGACTGTTGTTTCAGATAGGGCTACAGCTAGAGGGCAGCGGAGGCTCTGGTCCACCTCTTTATTTCTACTGAGGATGTGGAGACCACAGGAGGAGGTGTCTCTTGTCCAAGCCCATGGAGTGAGTCAGTGAGTAGGTGGAAGAGTTGGAACTGAGTTCACTGCTTTGATGTGCCCAAGATGACCTGCTTCTGCCTCTAAAGCCCAGAACTTGATTTCTTCTTGAGCCATAAAGACAGAACTTTAGCAATTCATGTGGGGAGCCAGGAAGACTCGGCTGCTGCCCTGGGCACAGTCTACCCAGGTGACTCCCTCCCTTCCCCTTGGGTAAGCAGAAGGTGGCCTGGCGAGGGAGCCCTCAGGATGACAGATCAGTCTGAAGGCAGAGCCCCTGACGTTGCGATGCGGTCCCTAGTCTTAAAAGATCTCAGTTGCGATGTGAAATTCTTCACACTCAAAGATTTTCAGAACAAAACTGATTTCGGGGTCTGGTACCTTCCTGCCAGAGGTAGCTCTGGGTTCTGGCTGCATTTCTCAAAGGATGAGAAAGCTGCAGCCCCTTCCCACTTCCGGTCTCCTGTCTGGCTCTGACCTGACTCTTGGTGTCCAGACCGGCAATAAATGCAGACCCCAGGCAAGGGCTGGGACATGGGACTCACTTTTCCTGTCCTGTAGTTCATTCAGTCAGCAAACCCTGATTGACCTCTGACTGTGTGCTAGGCCCTGGGGACATAAAGTGATGGAAACACAAATCGCTCAGGGATGACTACAGCGCCACACAGGAGGTGATGTCAGGGATGCCTGAGAAGGTGCTGCAGGGCCTCAGGGGACTCACCTCACTATGGTGTTGGAGCCTCCTTTGTGGTAGTAGAGAGAGCTGTTGTAAACGGCATGCCCACAGCCGTGGAAATAATACGGGAGGTGGATGAGCGAGTAACTGCCATTCAGCAGGGAGGGCTGGTCTTTGAATTCCTTCATCCTGATGCCTGCAGGAGGGAAGCCAGGGAAAGGCTGTTACCATCTTCTGGTCTGGCAGTCACAGCTTGGGAGTGAGCGGAGGGAGGCAAGTAAAAAGGAGGGAAGTTGGAATGAGATATCCGGCAAGGGACCTTGTCCAGTTTGCAGAGTCTCAGACTCCCAAACTCAAAGTCCAGTTTTCTCCTATGGATTCTGAAGTGTCTTTCAAATGCAGTAGCCACGGACGCAGCTTTGCCCCTCCCAGGAAAACTGTGTCACCGCCCCCCCCCATCCCCCCTGCCTCACTCCAGATTGTTTATAAAATTTTCTATCAGACTGACATAGGCCTATCCCAGGAGTAGCAAATCCCTGGCAGTGGTTAGTCACCTCCTGCCTTCACAGCAGCCGCGGCTAATTCACATCATTCCACTTGCCTTTTGAACCCCAGAATGCCTCTCAGCTGGTAATCTGGGCAGTCACTGCCAGCTGATCAGTTAGCCTTGAAGAAACAAAGCAGCATATCTCAGCTATTGCTCTGACCAGTGAGTATGGCCAGACCCTTTCTGGAATGAGATCACTGCTACCACACCAGCAATTCCTGACCACATCCCTTTGGGGCAGTATGACTACAAGTCATGCTCAGATGCAGTGTCCCTGCAAGATGGCACTTCACCCTCTCCTCTGGGCTCTCTGTCCACCAGATATCTGAGAAAGATGGCACCCCTGGGGCGTGCCAACCTCAGAGACAGATGGACAGTGCAAAGGGTTTTGTCTCTGACATTTCTTCCCCATTATGGTTTTGGGGTTTATGAGGCCATCAGTCATAATGCTACGTTGTTTCCTTCTGGATACGTTGCCTAAAATTGGATAAGTTACCTTAGGGGTGCCCTAGTCATGAGCCATCAGTGTGCTCAAAGGAGAAAAGTATTCTGCCCATTCATTTGTGCTTTCTAAAATGGAGAGCAGTTGTTACACCAATTAGCAGGGATTTCAGAGCCACAGAAAGAGAATATCAGCCCGAAGGTAGGCAACAGATGAAAGACACAATGACAACACAGATACAGATCACCTGCCAAGTGAAGGTACCTGAAAAATGTTCAGTCACCCAGATCCGTTCATCACTCTTGTTAGCAGACTCTCTTATCCAAGTCCCAAATGTCTCCGTAACTTTTAATACTTGCATTGGATTTCCAATGGAAGTGATCATGGATTCTACCAAAAGTGGAGAAAGTTACTCGCCTGCCAATTATGAATTTAAGGTATCCAATTTCTGAATTTCAAGATAGGTTACTTTGTTTCTGTACCTGCTTGTGGGGAATGGTGTTCATTGACTTTCTCATCAGCTTTTCCAGCCAAGGTATCATCATTGGGGACAGCACATGTCTCACCTAAAACAACAATAATCAGAGCAAATGCAGGTGGCACAGCGAGACTTGTGTAACTCTATAATTGGTGCTTTCTACAGATCTAGGCACATAAGCATCCCTTACAATAGACCAACCAAGTTTTTTGGTTGCTTGCTTTAAAACAAGTCATACACTTACAGATTTTCCCCCCTTCTTGGTAAGTGACTATAGTTGCTAAGATGGTACGATGCCAAGAGGATTTCAGTAAAAGAGGGAAAAGCGGCCTGAGCCAATCCATTCAAGCCCTCAGCAATCTGAGGAAAAGAGGTTTACTGACGCTTTCCTGGTCTCTCTCGGCAGGTGGTGTTACTATCATGACTGCATTGTTCTGGAAGGATTTTCACTTTCAGGGACGCTGACAGAGAGGGGTGAGGAGCAGCCTCATGAGAGGGTGGCCCACTTTACCCCTTCTTCCTGGACTGCCAGGGGAGGAGTCACAGAGGAAGAATGCAACTTGACGCAGCCCAGCCCAGAGACATTTGAGCCCCTCACCACCGTTTCCCCACCTGCCTCTGCTTGAAGGCCTATGGAATTCAGGTCCTTGATGGATACCTGATCCGCCGTTGGTTTGAGGCTACACCTGAACTAAAATTCATCTCCTTCCTCTTGTCATTGTTCCCAGAACAAATGGGCTTAATTCAGACCTTTGGTGAAGAGGTGGCTCAGGGTGGCAGAAGCAGGACAGGAGGAGGGGAGGAACATGGTCAGTGACAAGACAGAGGGAGTGGATTGACTGGGGTAAGGGCCCTGGTCTGGAGCAGGCTGGGGGCAAATTGGGCTTTTTGGGAAAGGCCAGGCCCACTTGCCTAGACAAATTCTGAGGGATTCCCATCACCTTGTGGCTGCTAGATAGAAAGGAGCGTCTCTGTTGTCAGTAGGGAAGCTCACAGAATAATCTGGAGAGGTTTCTTTATCAGTAAAATAAGGGGGCAGGCCCTCTATGATCTCTAAGCTTCTTTCTAGCTGGAAGAGCAGCGTTTCTCTGAAGTCCTTTCACCCAGTGGGAGCAGTCTCAGGGATCTGTTCTGACTCCTCCACCTTCAGTCCTGCAGCCTCTGAGCTTCAGCTGGAGTTTCTACTTAGGAACTTGGGCTTTGCACAAAAAAGAGACAGGGAGACCCTCCAGTTCTTAGTCTGAAGAAAAGGCTTTCATTAATTCCTTTTGTGCCAAATTGCTTCTAAAGCTGTGGGGGCAGGAAAGGGGTTAAAGAAATGGAATTGGAGCAGGAGAGAGGGCCAAGTTCAGATGCAGGAAATCTGGCAACTGAGGACTCATTTTTAGGGGGCAGAGTGGAAGATAGTGGCCTCTCACTTAGAGCAGTCTTCACAACTCTGGGGCCCAACTCCTGCCAGCAGCCTCTCAGCAGACAGGCCAGGCAGAGGAGAAGGCTTCTCCACCCACCCACTGTCACTGGCTGACAGAGCCTTGGCAAATTAGAATTCCACGAAGCTCTGTCAGATCTCCCCTCCTCTCAGGCTAAGGTCCCCCCTCAGTTCATTCTCCAAGGGAAGCTGAACAAAGGGCTGATGCTAACGGAGGGGGTGGCGCTGAACACCAGCGAATGAGCAGCTAACTGCTGGGCAGAATTGTACTCAGACTCCATTTAGGGGTGTGTGTGTGTGTGTGTGTGTGTGTGTGTGTGTGTGTGTGTGTGTGTGTGCTTTATGTAGCACATACTGGCCCACTCTGACAGCTGAGTGCGTGCCCCCAAAATGCCTTCCAGAAAAAATAGTGCACTGAACAGAGCTAAAGACTTTAGGAAANGTGTGTGTGTGTGTGTGTGTGTGTGTGTGTGTGTGTGTGTGTGTGTGTGTGATCTTTATGAAGCACATACTGGCCCACTCTGACAGCTGAGTGCGTGCCCCCAAAATGCCTTCCAGAAAAAATAGTGCACTGAACAGAGCTAAAGACTTTAGGAAAGTGGCTGTGAAATCCACAGCAAGTGTGAGAGACACTCCAGGCAGGGCCCTCCTCTCTGCCACCGAAGTGACAGCACCAAGCTGTGCCCCCTCAGGGCCTAAGTAGGTGAGTAGGTCCCAGGTCACCGCTTGTGGGAAGTTTTGGCATCACCCTCGAAGTATTTTCCATTCAGGTGGCTCTTGATTTCTAATTAGCTTTCAATCCTGTGGCCACCTCTGTTACAAACTGGCCAAAGAACAAGTCCTCTTGGTCTACCAGAGATCAGGTGTTCCCTGCCCTGGATTGGCTTAGTCTCAAAGTGTGAATTTCCATCTCCAAAAGGAAGACGCTCTAAGAGTGGAGGTTTTACAGTCAGGCACACCTGGGTTTGAGTCCTAGCTCTGTCACTTGCTAATTGAGCGTCCTTTGGCAAGCTATTTTAGCAACGCGAGGTTTCAATTTTGTTCTGTAAATTGGTGACAATAACAATTCATATATCCTAGGATTGCTGTGAGAATTAAATGAGCTAAGCACTTAGCACCATGCCTGGCCCATTGCTAGTGCTCAAAGCTTAGTAGTGCTGTGGGGAGTTAACCAATCTGAACTTGCCCACCATCTCCTCCAGCATCCGTCAAGCCCTTCATGCTCCAAAGTGAACAGCTTAACCCTCCAGATGATTTCAGGGGAGAGGGATGGTGGATTTGGCAAGGAAGAGGAATAGTCTGGTGGTAAGTGAAGGGAGAAGCATGAGGAAAGCAGGTGGGAGGCTGAATTCTAAACTTGCCACCGGTCCTCATTCCCAGGACAGGCTGCTCAGGCTTTCCACAAACATGTTGCAAGAGGGAACTCTCACTTTGGACAAAATCTCCTCCCACTATTTAAAAACTCTGATCACAAAACCTGGGTGAAGCCCCAGAGTTGGGACATTAGCAGAAGAGACAGGTTCCCTGGGGCAGGGTTGGTTGGTGACCTTGGCACTGGCCGTTGAACACATTCGGCTGCCGAGAGCCTTTCGATCTTCTGCTTCCGGGGGGTCCTGGGGGACCTGGAGGGCCCGGGGGCCCAGGTAGGCCAGGCGGGCCTGGTGGACCTGGGTCACCTTTGGCACCTGGAGAGAGAGAAAGGGGGTAGGGGAGAGAGATTGATTAAAGGGTCATAATCAGAGATGGGTTTCACACCGGGGAAAAGGACAATGAGCAACAGCAGGGAGGCTCGCTGAGCAGCCCCTCCCAGAAGTGACTGTGCCTTAGCCCGCGTCTACGCAGAGCTGAGGAAGCACCCACAGGAAGTGCTGAGTTCCAACCATATGACAGGAACTGTGTGCCACGAATTTTACAAATCTCCTCCCTGTCGTTTTTCCCAGCAACTCTGTGAAGCAGCACTGATAGCCCCTCAGTGACTTGAGTCTGAGGGAAATTCAGTGCTTTGCCCAACCTGAGTAGGGCTGGAACTCAACCTCACGCAGGTATCCAAAAGCTCCAAAGCTCATCCTTAGTTCACTGACTGATGTCAGTGGATCTATCTCAACCCTGACTGCTTATTAGAATCACCCAGGGAACTTTAATACAATTCTAATGCCTGGGCCCCATCCCAGACCAATTAGATCAGAATTGTGGGGAGGCTGGTCATCTGCATTTTAAAAAAAATTTAATTTTGCAATTACAGTTGACACACAATATAATATTAGTTTCAGGTGTACAGCATGGTGGTTAGACATTTATATAACTTACAAAGTGATCATCCCGATAAGTTGAGTACCCATCAGACACCATACATAGTTATTAAAATATTGACTATATTCCCTATGCTGTACTTGACATTCCTGTGATTGCTTTTATTCATCTGTATTTTTTAAAGTCTCTAACTGTGCAGCCAGGTATCAGGAGCTCCTGTCCAGCTTGGTGACCTTGAGCAGGCAGCTTAATCCTGCTGAGCCTGCTTCTTCATCTCCAAATTGAGTCTCATACTCCCTCCCCTCCCCTTTAGAATGACTGAGGTCACTGGGGTGAATGCTGACAGCTGGCACCCCTACACACCTGCGGGCAGCCATTCCTCTAACTTATGGTAGCTAATGTGGATGCAGCCCTCTGCAGGGGCCAGTAGTTCTGGAGCTTTCATAAGGACACCACTGAGCTGGGTTGTTCAGCCCTTTGGTTCTACCCCCCTGTCTGGCGCTGACACTGGTGATCTAAGGTCTTTTTAGCGGCCTCTTCCCAGTCAGACCAAATAAGCCTTTTCAGTCTCTTTAGAGTGAGCAAGCAGGGGTCACAGAGGCTGGAGGTGGGTCCGTGCCCACACTGGAAGGGGCAGAGATCTGTAGACCCGGCAGACATGAGCCAACCCTCTTACGCCTTCTCTGTTCTCTGACCAGAGGATGCACTCAGCTCTGGCCTGGTCTCCTGAATTGGGGTACACACAGGGAGGTTGCTTTTCTGAATGGTTTGTCATCACACCTCACTTGTTCAGTATCGGGGAATGCAGTACTCTGGATGTAGAGACTTCCATAATAACCGAAGTGTAACACAATCTTTTGTTTTTAAAATATATTCACATTGGAATCTAAAAAACTGAATAAATGAGAAATGTAAACAGAAATAGTCTCAGAGACACAGAGGAAAAACTGAGGGTTACTAGTTGGGAGGGGGTGGGGATGAAGGAGAAAGGGAAGGGATGAGACAATACAAATTGTTAACTACAATATGACCTCAGGGATAGAAAAGACAGTCTGGGGAATATAATCAATAATGTAAATATTTTTTAGGGGGCCAGATGGACTCATGTCTTGTTAGGGAGACCACTGCGTAGACAGTGTAAAGGCCTGACCACCGCACTGTATTTCTGAAGCTGATGTTGAATAATATTGTATGTCAACTATAATTATATATACATATAGTCATGGAACATGGAGTAGAGAGTGGGAATGGAGTCAATGTAATTGTAATAGATAAGTATGATATCGGGGGTGGGAGGGCAGTAGATTGGGGAGAAGGGTTGTTTCTGTATGAGGGGTGAAAAGGATAACTATTGCATTATTCTGTACACCTGAAACTAATAATAAAAAATAAATAAATAAAATATATTCACATCTATTACCCTGTCAAAACACTTCTTAAATTCAATGTATTTTGCATAGCAACCTCCCCTGTTTATGAAAGAGAGCATGTTAGACACAATTTGATCTTTCCTTGATGCTTGGGTCTTAGCACAGTGTCTGGCAAATAGCAGGTGCTCAGTATATTTTCAATGGATGGGTGGGCGAGTGATTCAGGGTCATTATTCTGAATATCTATCATCTTAGCTTCTTAAGAACAGATGTCATGTCTTAGTCATTTTCATATTCATAGTCTCAGCTTTTAGCAAAGTCCATAATTCATTAACGGTGCTCTCTGATATTCAATAGATGTTTACTGAATACATTAATAGGATAGTTATGTTTTTATGATATAAATGGTCTCCAAAGCACTGTGCTTTAAAAATTCTCCTGCCTCATCCTACTCCATGACCATCTCCTATCACTTACTCTTCCCATCCCGTGATGGTCTTTCTGTGGCTCACTGCACCTCTTCCTTCACCCCCACAGACACCAACTATCTGCTTTTAAGTGGGGCTGTATATCAGAAAAAGATCAGCAATGCTGTTTGTCCCAATATTCTATGTCAAAGGCTTAGTTAGGATATGAGCCCGAGGATGGTCCGACTTTGTGAAAGTGCCTGTGATTTCTATCAGTTGTTCTCTGAGTATCTTAAATGGCCTGCTTACTTGTATTGTTCTGGAGTGTGCTGGATTTAATAGATATTTGGAAAAAGGAAGCTTCTTTTATCCTAATTCAATCCAACCAAGATGTTTAGCTCTGAATTACTTAACATACTTGTGCTTAGATCCCAGATTTGGTCTTGCCAACATTGTGTGACACAGTTTCCTCCTTTTTAAAAGCACAGAACTTTAAAACATGCTACAAAACAGGTGGCCACCTACTCATAAGGCAAATGAAGAGAGAAAACCCAGAGCAGCCCTGGCATTAAAGCCCAGGCAGGTCTCTGGGCCTGTTCATCCTGGAAGAGGGCCTGAGCACCAGCCTCTTACCTGTGGGTAGCAGATCATTGGACACGTCCCCTTTGTCCCCCTTTTCACCCTTCTGCCCTGCTGGGCCCTCATTTCCGGTCAAGCCCAGTTCACCAGTGTCTCCCTTTTCTCCTGGAATTCCTGTGGCTCCAGGTAGCCCTAAGAAAAATAATGATCTATTAGCTGTTGTGCAAGAAATTCTGGCACACTTCTTTGTGATATTGTACTGTGTACTTTTTAAAAAATTATTTGCATTTATTTATTTTAAACTGAGCCATTCTGCCACCTGTTGGCAGCTCACCGGCAGCTCAGCTCAGGCCGGGAATCTAACTGGCGACCCTGTTGCCCAGAGCTCGCACTCTTGAGCGAGCTCTTAACCAACTGAGCCACTCGGCCGGCCCTGTACTGTGTACTTTAAAGGTGAAGCAGCTTCAAAAATAAAATACTGAGCACATATAACCATTTTAGGACAGCAGTGTAGCCATGATTAAGGAATAGTATTTCCAACTGACTTTAATGGAACATTTTTAGACATTTGATTGGGACAACAGGATGAAGAGAGGACTGAACCACAAGAGGGACAGTCGCAGAAAGAGTAGAAGGTATGGGCTGATCAGAAGTCTGATCCATCCACGCAGGTTGGAAGGAACACTCAGAGAGGTTGGCTTGATGCTAAACAGTGGGCACTTCATCTACAGCATTTGTTTATTCCTCACAACATACTGGAGTGGAGGCTGGGCACTCATCCTTACTCTCATTTGGTAGAAGTTGGAACTAAGGCCTACAGTTCTTATAACTGATGCTGTTAAATGAGCAGTAAAGATCTTGTGATTCCATCACCAATGCCCTTTTCTGTGACATTCCGATGCAAAATGCTTTTAATCAAAATAGCAAAGCAAGTTGCTTTAGGGCAGGCATTCGAAGGGATGATTACAGTGTGAACAAATTGCAGTGGGTGAAATTTCTGCCTCTGCTCCTGGGGAGCCATTACTACAGGAATTGCACTGCTGCCACACAGCTAGAAATTGTCAAGATCTATGCCATGACCTATCTCAGCACTGCATTATGGGCAGTGCAGGATTCCAATCCCTGGGAGAAAAGGAGCAAGCTAGGTTCATAGGACTGTCACAGCTCACTGCAGGCGGGCAGTTTCCAGACAGAAGCACAGGGAGGGGGAACCCAAACACAGCCTGGCAATTTCACTGCGGCGACGAAACAAAAACAAGAGTTTAGGGACACAGAGGTGGCTAGAATTTTGAGATAGACTATGAGAGATGAGGTAGTTGTGTAGAAACGGCTGGAGAACTTCAGAACTTTAGTTCTTGGCTGAGTAATGATCTGTACAGGGTACAAGACAGGGAAAAAAATGAACAGAAAGCATGTCACTGCACAATTCTCAGAGCCTGCCCAGGGAATGCTCTCATTCCCACCAGTCAAGGCAGAGAGATCTCAGAAAAATGGTGGGATGTTGGGTAGAGCCCTTGGAAAAGTCTTCTTACTAATGGGGCTAAATTAGCCCAAGAGTCAAAGCTGCTGTGGATCCATCATAGCAATGCTTAGAAACATTCTTTGAAAGGATGAACCTGATCTGCAAATCATTTAATTGTATGCCAGAACAGAGTCCAAAATTTGAGTCACTCAGTCATTGTGATGCTACAAATGAACAGTTTAAGGGAAAATCATATGATTATCTCAATGGATGCAGAAAAGACATTTTGTAAAATTCAATACCTATTCCTAATAAAAATTCTCATCCAACTAGGAATGGAGGAAACATCCTCAATCTGAAAAAGGGCATCTATGAAAAATCTACAGCTAACATCATCCTTAATGACGAAAGACTGAATGCTTTCCCCCTAAAATCAGGAACAAGGCATGTTATCTACTCTCATCTCTTTTATTTCAGACTACTGGAGGTCTTAGCCAGTGCTAAAAAGCAAGGAAGAAGAAATAAAGACACATTGGAAAGGCTGAATTACACTTGTCTTTATTTGTAGGTGATATGGTTACTTATGTAGAAAATTTCAAGGAATCTATTTTAAAAGCTACTGTTGTAGAACTCATAAGCACCCAGGGATGCTGAGGTCCTGAGAGAGAAAGCGATTGCCTAATGCTGTGCAAAGATATTGCCACATAAGGATCAACTAACATGATGTCCTATTGCAGGGGGCCAGCCATCTGTTCATCTTGATGATAACCTCCTGGAGATACTGCTCAATAAGATATTGCTCAAAGTGGCAGAGATTCCAGGCAACAGGAAAGAGCTAGAGGCATGTTTTAGTGCAGGTAAAACTTTAGTTCCTCTCAAAGTCTATAACCAAGAGGGCTTAGGATCCACTGCCTTTGCTAATCACCCTGCCAGTCCCCATGCTCCTTCTTATAGGCTGTGGCTAAGTAACTGCCCATTCACCCCTCTCCTGTTTCCCATCAACTTGGACAACCCCCACTCTGTCATCCTTCGGGCATTGCAATTGTTCTCCCTCCAGATTTAAAATCAAACCTGGACTGCCCCCACCCTCACTGCATGCTAGCACCATAGGATTCAGTATAACTTCCCAAGGAAATCATAGAATTCTGGATTGGAAGGCACCTAGAGGGCATTTACATTGACCTCTCATCCAACCTTCAAAGCCTCTCTATCCCCTAAAAGGCTCTTCTCACACCCTTTCAGCAATGGGGAGGTTATTACATCACATCACATCATAGCACATCACAGATCATACTTGAATATTCTGCACTGCCATCAAAGATAATTATTCCTGAAAACACAAATCTGGAGCTCTTAGCACCTTTTCCTTTATGCCAAAGGAGTGGTAAATATTCAAAATGGTTTCTGCTCTTGCATATTCAAGGGACCCTATACACCATCCCAAGGAAAATAACAGTGTACAAAAGAATCTTTAAATGTTGATTACTATTAGAAAATGTAAGGAACAAAGAAGCATTTGCTAGATTTCAGCCAACCTTGAAATCACCTCAGTGAAAACCATGAAATTCAGGTGTAGCTGGCAGTCTTGGGTTCCCTGCTCCTGCCAGCATGATCTCCAGCAGGCATCCTTTACTGAGTGCTAGGGACATAACAGAAGAGGATGCGAGGAAGTACGGAAGCCCCTTCATTTTCAGCGTTTGCTCTGTCATGGATTCAGTAACACAGGGGCAAATCATGCCTCTTGGGTGGGTAATGGCTTGTGATACATCTCTCACAACAGCACTGGCAAAGCATGGGTCCGGGTCATCCCTGCCCAGGGTCATCAGGACATCTTGCCGGAAAGTGGTTTGCTCACTTAAGAGGAACCCTTAATCAGGGATCTCTGCATGAGAAGGCGTTCTTTTGTCAGTATTTTAAATAGGCAATTTGGCACATTATCTGCAGGACAGAAAAGACGAGACCGTTGCCATAGAGTCCAGCCAGCACAATGCACCAAGTATAACTGATATGGTCTAAAGGTTTCACATGCTCAGATTTAGCAAAGCTCAGGGAAATGGTATCTCCTAGTTACTTCAGGATTTTCTTTTTCAGGCATTTATTCTAGTTACAAAAAGCCTTTCTGCATCATCATCCTATTTCCCCTTCTTTTATTCTTTCCTCTTATGCCTTTGATTTTCTTTCTCAGAAAGGCCATGTGTGAAACATGAAAATGTTCATACTGTAATGCAGCTATTGTAAGGCAGCCTCCACAGGGGTGGGTGTTGAAAGCTAAAGATATTAAAGAGCTTTTCTGCTTTTTTTTTTAGCTGAGCCATCCTGCCACTTGATGGCAGCTCACCGGCAGCTCAGCTCGGGCCAGGAATCGAACTGGTGACCCTGTTGCTCAGAGCTCGCACTCTTGAGTGAGCTCTTAACCAACTGAGCCACTTGGCCAGCCCTTAAAGGTGCATTTTGATGCCTATCTGGGTGTGCCTCATCATTTTTAAGGTTTGTTAAGAAAGGGTGGGGGATGTTTTGTCTATATATAGTCTGTCTTTGACCTCTTGTGACCATTGCCTCTGACAAAGTTTCCCCTCGTCTTTGTTGATGAAACTGCCTTGGCCATGCCCTGGCCATGCACTGGTGTCAGAAGACACCACTACCTAATCACATTCACCATCAGAAGACCCGTATGTGGCACTTCCCACCCTGTCCTGACTCAGCTGTACACAGTCACGCTATCACACTGTGTGTCCTGGACTCGACATTGTTTGTCCCATGACTCCTGGCAGCACTTTCTGTCAGAGAAGAAAGGCCAGATGCTGCTTGCCTAACTCGTGTACTAGAGGTGGCTCTCGGCTGTTTTTCTTTCCCGATGGCACCCACTCAAAACAAACAATTTTACCATCTTTAGAGTTGGGGGTTATGTGATGTGTGGGGGTCAATTCCAGCCTCTTCACTGCCGCAGGCGAGGGAGGACAGCTTATTTTTGGCAGGACCATCTGTTACAGGCTGAGAAGAGGGAACAGGGACTAGAGAGAGGGTGTAGCCTAAAACCCAGCCCCAAGACTGGGATGAACAAGGAGGAGGGTGTTTATTTCTGTTTTGATGAAGCTTTGATTTTTAGAGAAGAGACTGTAGCATTAACTCTTAAGTGAGAAAGTGAGACAGATGGAGAGGAAGAAAATGTTTGGTTTTGAGGCACTAGAATGTCAAACTTCATAGAAGATGCTAGTTGCAAAATGACAACATTTAAGTCTCTTAGGTTCAATTATTCTCCTCAAATCTAAGTCAGTGTTTTCAAATGAATACAGGTATTTCCACTTAGATTTCCTTTTGGTCTAAAACCAAGTTTCTCCTTCCCTATTTTTGGAAACAACAACACATAACATTAGTATAGCACTTACTATTTGTCAGGCTGTATTCTAAGTGCTTTACAAGGTGTGATCAAACAATATGGTGAATGTTTAAATGAAAAAAAATTGTTGCAGTTAAAGACACATTGCTGTTAATCCCCCTCAAAACACTCCCTCTCACTTCAAACACACTTATCCATCATTCTTGCTACGTTTTGAAGCAGCTCTGGAAGTCCTCTTTTGTGAGTGTCTTTAGTTGTGCTGTCATGGCTGCCTCAATGTCTTGAATCATTTTGACTTTAGGGAAGAGCCAGAAGTCACACAAAGCCAGATCCAGTGAATATGGTGGATGAGGACACACCGTAATGTTTTTATTTGACAGAAATTGCTGCATACCAGAAGCAATGTGTGACACGGTGCGTTGTCATGATGGCGGATGATTTACGGCACACTTGAAAACACCTTCTCTCAACCACAGCTCACACTCGACTGACAGCACCGAACAGGTTGAAACTTGTCACACACTGTTACTAAGGTTCCACGTGCCGCTTCCCATATTGAAGATACCTGCCTTTCAGTTGGATGGCACTTGGCACAACATTCACTGTATTTTGTGATCACTACAGAAAGGGACCATGTCAGAAAGTGGCAAGACACTCATGAAAGAGAACTTCCAGAACTGCTTCAGAAAGTGACAAGAACGACAGGATAAGTGTGTTTAAAGTGAGGGGGAGTATTTTCAGGGGCATTAATGGCAATGTGTCTTTTACTGTAATACAGTTTTTAAAATTTAAACTTTCACCTTATTTTGTGATTATAATATATATATATATATATATATATATATGGGCTCATTTAATCTTCCTAACAATGCTGCGAGGTTGATACTATTATTGTCCCCATTATACAGATGAGGAAACTGTGGCACAGAGTGATTAAGTAACTTGTCCAAGGGCACACAGCCAGTAAGCGGAAGAGCCAGGATGCAATCCAGTCCTCAGGCTCTGGCTTTATGCTATTCCTCCATCATTCTTAGCATTCCCAGAGCCAGAAACTGAGGGTTTTATCTTTGATACTTCAATCTCTTGGAAACAATTGTTAGGTTGATTTCATCAGGTTAGTCTTCTCAAGAGCCCACAGTGACTGCCAGCTGCCTCCTGCAAACATGGAGCTAAAGCCCCTGGCCCCACCCCAATCTAGCCTGGGTCCCCATTTATACCCAGGGGAAACCTCACTAACAGATCCTCCAAGCCGGTCCTTTCTGTTCTCCCCCTGCAATGCCCTCCTCACCTCCCCTCTACTTATTTCTAAGGTGTCGATCATACTTCTCTCTCTTAGCCTTTATACTTAGCTCTACTGCAAAATCTATCCTCTATCCAGGGTCCTATTTGTTCATTATCTGCACAGGAAAGGGCAGCTTTTGCTGGCAGTATTACTTGCTGTGCAGTATAAGGCAGTCTTCAAATCAGAATAAGCAGTTATTGAGTACATATTTTTGGAAACAACACTTGACATTCCCTCTTTCTGGAGTGCACTCCCATGCCTCCCCTTTCCCACCCCCGCCTGACAAACCACTAATGATCCTTGACCTCTCAGCTGAAATAACAGCCTTCCTTCTCTACAGTCACCACCCTGGCCCAGTAGGTCACATCTCTGCGTGAGACCCTACAGTGCCTTCCTGGGAGCTGACAGTGAGACCCAGACCATTAATCTGAAGGCTGTGGAAGGGCCTGGCCCCTGCCTCCAGCCTCACCTCGCTGCGTGCCCTCTTTCCCCTCAGCCGCACTGCCAGGGCCTTGGCAGGTGTCCTGCACTCCACCTGGGCCACTCCCTCCCTCACTTTCATCCTTCAAGTCTGACCTCAGACATGACCTCCTGACCCTCTCTCTCTGTCCTGTATCTCATAGCACTCTGCTCTTTCCTTCAAACATGTATCTCACATTATGATTACAGATGTATTAGATTTTTGACTGTTAATGCCTGCCTTCCTACCAAGGGTGGAAAGTTCCAGAATAGGGGCTGCATCTGTTTTGTTTCCCCACTCGCACTTTGAACCTTCCCAATAAATATTTGCTGATGAACGTTCCCACCCTCTTCCACTCAGTCCCATCTTCAGCCTCCTTTCTGGGCTCCCCCTCTTCTACTTGGTCACTAGATGCTGTTGCTTCTCAGGGCTGGATCCAGGCTCTCCTCGCCTGTTAGCTCCCTCTCTAAGTGCACGCACCCATGCCCACATGCCCATGGCCTTGATACTCCCCGATGTAGACCTCTAGCCCCAGGGTCTCCTCTGACTTCAGACCTGCATCCCAAGGCCCCCTGACATCTCCCCCCTGGACATCTCAATCTCAGCACATCCCATGCTAAGCTCCTGACAGTCTCCCTGAACCTGAGTCAGTACAGGGCTCCCACCTCAGGGAGGAGCAGTCAAGCAGGGCAGAGACATGAGCTAGCCTCAGTGCCTCCCTCCCTCTTCCTCTGTATATCCACCCACCACCAGGGGCTGCTGATTTCACCAAATATCACTCAACTCCATCGGTTGGTCTCTCCACATCCCCACCAGCCTTCGCTTCTGCCTGCACTTTGAGAAGCTTCTGAACTGTCTCCCTGCCTCCTCTCTTGCTCGTCTTGTGTGTTTTTTTCCAATGTGTTCTCATGCAGCACCTGCAGTGGTGCTTCTGGAAGGCAGAGCTGATCATGTCACTCTCTCCTACTTGAAACCCCTCAGCGGCTTATCACTGCTCTCAGATTCCTCTGCAAGAAGGCGAAGTGCTGGGTAGGATGGGCTTCATCCTAGGGCTCAGGGAGGGAGGGAAAGCACAGCGCCTGGGGCCCTTAGCAGGGTGACCGGGGACAGCCCAGCCCTTGCTCTGGAGTCTGAGCAGGCCCACGGATGGTCAAGGCTTTAAAAAATCTTGTTCCACACAGCCAGGCTCTTCAAATAGCCTTTGTCTTTATACATCTATTATAGAAGAGTGGTTAGTCTCCCTTTCCCGGGGCCTAGGACAAGGAAACCGTGCTGGGCCCTTGGTGACTCAGGTTCTAACCTCCACCTTAGTGGGAGTTTCTTGTTCTACATTGCCAACTCCAGGAGGCCTCTCTCCCCAGGAGACTGCTGCAGAAGAGGGTCTGTGCCTTTGCTGCAGTTCCTATGGAATCTCCAGGAAACGAAGGACTTGGTCAACCTCCATGGATGAACAAAGCCGGCACCTTCTCCCCCATCCACTGCTGTCTCCTGCTCCAAGCCTTCCCCCTTCCCTCCTGCAGCCTCCCTCGGCACAGCTGCCAGGGCGACCCCTGTGACATGGCAGTTCTCTGCTCTGCTGCAAACCTTCCCCATCTTGCTCTGAGGACAAACCACAGTTCCTCAAATACCCGGGGCCAACCTGATTTGGCCTTCTTTCCTCCATGGTCTTAACGTGAGCACATTGCCCTCTCAGCCTCTCTGTCCAGCCGCCCTGGCTTCCTCGGGCTCTGCGAGCATGCTGGACCCCCATGCTCTGCTGGACCCCTCTCTTCCAGAACCCCCAGAACCCCCTCTTTCCCCTTCTCCAGGTATTTTGTTCAAAGGTCCTTTCTCAAGGGGACTTCCCTGGCTTCCAACTCTACAGTCACCACCCCCCCTTCAAACACTCTATTTTCTCTCTTTGGAATTTACCACCGTGTAACAGATTATATATTCTACTTATTTATCGTGTTTATTGTCCATGTGCCCAGACTAGAATGTAAGCTTTATGAAGGCAGGGATTTCGTCAGCTTTTTCATTTCTGGATCTCCAGCATCTAGAATAGTACCTGCCACATAAATACGTGTTACCTAAATGAATAAACTTTTCCTTTTCTGCTCTCACTGGGCTATGGGATGCATGCTAAGCACATGTCTGCAAAGCCAGTGATCTGTTTCAACCCCTTTTGAAAACCACCCCTTTCCCACCTACCCCACTTCCTGTGCTAGCATGGTGGCTCCCTTCCCCTCACAGTTGCCCCTCATAATATTCGTAATACCCATGATGAATTCTCAGGACTGGGTCACATTTCTGGGGGCTTCCTGGGATAAACCAAGTGTCTGCACACGGACAAGTCATCATTATTCGATGCTGATATTCATTTATAATTATAATCATTATTGGACATGTAACAATCCATTACTTCTCTGTAATTCTGGCTATAATTGCTGGTCTTCTGAGGACTGAGCTGACTTGGACCATGCTGCCCATTTTCACAGAGGCTGCCCCCTGGGAACATGAGTATGTAGATTTTGCCAAGTGGCAGAGCCCCTGAATAATTCTCTCCCTCTTCCCTGGCTCTCAGTTCAATTGCTTGTGGGAATAAGAGCAGAGATGCTGAAAGGAGTTACTGTGCTGTCTGGAAGAATTTCCTGTACCTCCTAGACCAGAGCCTGCTCAAGTGAGTTGGGGTAGCAGAGCCAAGCGGTTGAAAATAAACAAGAGGGTGTGGTGGAACCTCCATGCTCCACAGTGGCCGAGAGCCAGGCCTTCCTAGAAGCCTCATGAGCAGGCTCTACCCCCTGCACTTGAGCTTCCTCCATGCCATGTGCCAGCTTTTTTCGGCGAGTCTGCTCAGGCCTTCTCCATGACTCAGGATTGGTGCTCAGAGGCCTTCATAACTCGCCCCTGCCTGTCCCTCAGCCTCCTGCCAGACCCTGCTTAAGCCCTGGCTTCTCAGTGCCCCCTGGACACATCTGACACCTTGGTGCTTCTGGGCCTTTGCTAGGGTGGTGGCAGTGCGGCTACTCACAGCAGGGCAGAGGAAGCCCCTTGGAGATGCCAGCCACATCTTTGTAATCATCCTGTGAACCCTGGACAGGAGTCTGTACAGCGGGGACCCTACAACCTGAGTGCCGTTCTTCTCAAATCATTTCAGCTATTCCTCTACTCAGGGAAACCCAGGAGCTGACATAGTCAACTGCTTTTTAATCAAACACAAAGATTTTCCGGGCAGGAGGAGGCAGTGAAAAGGCAAGGCAGGAACTGACCCTCCAAAGAACGTGGGGCATTGCACATGCAGCCGTCACACGGCCCATGGAGTGCCCCTCCCCACGGCTGCCGCTCCTGCCCCTTCTGTCTGCCTGCCTCAGAGCGAGCAAGAGAATGGAAGTCAGTTCCCAGGGACAATGCTTCTTCAGATGGAGATAAACTGTCGTCAGGGTTGGACCAAAAACAATGCCCTTAGTCCCCCAGAACACAGCAGCTTCCAGGCAAGAGCTGAACCAGCCTTGCAGGCAGAAATGCAACCCTTGATCCCCACTGCACACACTGTGGCCCATTCCAAATGCTGTAACAGAGACAAGCAACAAGGAAAGTAATTAAAGAGCTGATAAAATACCCATTTTTCCTCTTTTCCCATTTGCTCCTTTTTCGCCTTTTGGGCCCTGGGGACCAGGCGGTCCATCTGATCCATTGTGTCCTGGTAACCCACCAATTCCTGGAGGTCCTGCATCAAAACACGGGGAACAGGAACATTAAAAAAAGAAAAAAAAATCTCTTCATTGAAGTTAAGGCCATTCCCTCTAGCCAGTGAAACAAGGCAGGCATCGATGCCTTTTCCAGATCCTTTCCTGCTTCTTCCCTTCCTTCTCTACCTTCGCTGCCCCTGCCTGAAGCAGTGACAGGTGGGGAACGGTGATGGCAGGTTCTCACGTGAGCGGGGACAAGAGAGCTCATGCACAGGGTAGAGAAAAGGAGGGAACACAGTCATACTCAGGGTTTCCTCTAATTCTCCCCCCTTCCCCACCTCAGTCCTTCCCATATAATCCCCCCAACCCCATGAAGTAGAAAAATCCATGGGCTCTTACCTGGCAGGCCAGGTGGTCCTACAATAGAAAAAGAAATTTAGATGATAAACCATGGGTGGAAGAAACCAAAGCCAGCTCCACACCCACGAAACAAAGAGCACCTTCCCCCTCTTAAAATGTACTAATCACCCACTGGCACCGAGGAACCACCCTATGGCTTTTACTTAGCACTCAGTATATTTGCCCAAATGTTCTTCAAAGCAATTCAACACAGACCAACTTGCCAGTCAAAACCACTTCTGTTTAAGTTTCAATGGACCAAAAATAATTTCTGAGCTGGCTTCATCATAGATTCAGAAATCAGTCATCTCTCAAGCAATCAACCTAATTAAATGAGGTTGGGTAACAGTGCAAGTGAGCTAGTGCAACCCTGACACAGGTAAATGTCAGCAAATGATAGTGCTGTCATTACAAGGCTGAGGTCTGGCTGTCATGAGAGCCGTCCCAAGTGTTTTCATCCAGCCAGCTTTGTCCTCTAGGAAGCCAAGGGCAGAAGCTGGTTCTCCGGGTCTCTATTGTGTTGCATGAAATAGCCTGAGAAAAACTGAGGACCCAGATCAGGTAATAGATACCTTCCTTAGTGTGTAATCACCCAGAAAATCTAAGGGGTTCAGATGAATCATTTACACATAATCTAACAAAAAGGTTTGCTTCCACAAATAGGAGTCTTATGATCAATTATTCTATCTGAGAACACAAACTAATGAGGTTGTAACATGAGCAGATGAGGACCTTTTGTTTCCCCAGACCACATATGATGATTACCAATATTGCAATGGAAAAGTCTTGCCCTAAGTCCAAGCTTATGGCCTTTCAAAAAAGTATCATTTACTAAGCACTTGCCATGTGCACCAAAATATACCAAGAAGCAGAAATCTTGGTCGCTGTGTCTGTTGTGTTCACAACCTACCTAGGGAAGGCAGACACTTTGAAATCACAATGAAATGTGAGGGAGCTACGGAGAAGCACCGCACCCCCCAAAGGGGTACTGAGGCAGTTTGAGGGGGCCTCCAGATTTAAGCTGGGGCACTAAGGAAGCAATGGGCCTGAGATGGCTGCAGGGGTGAGGGAGAGCTGGACATCCATGCAGGCGACCAGCAGGAGGTGGGAACTTGCACGATTCAGGGCAAGAAAGGAAGAAGACCCTCCAAGCTGGCACGTGCAAGGATGAAGCTGAGAAAGTCCATGGTGGGGCGGATGTGGGCGGCTGCACTTGAATACCAAGCAGAGAGGTATGGACGGTATTTGTGAGGCAATAGGGAGCTACAGTAGATATTTAAGCAAGGGGCTGACACCGTGAGATTAGTGTGCATTCGAGATCTCTGTAGATAGACGTTGAAGAGAACTAGGGAATTAGGTGTGAGAAAGAGAGAGATGAAAATGAGGGGGTGGGGAGAAGATACCCAGAGGGTCTTTGCAGTTAAAATTAGTGAGAAGATTATGGCTAAATATGGTTGGTCACTGTAGGGTTGTAGAGAAAACTAGAAATTCAAGAGGTATTTCAGCACAAGAATGAACAGGGCAACATGTCTGACTGGTTAAGAGACAAAGAAGTCCTCTCAGATGGCTGGGAACCTAGGGTATTTATGGAGAGAGGCTATTTTACAGACATGAGGACTCTTGGAAGAATACGTGTATTTGAAGGTATGCTTTCGATACTTATAGCTCTACTTGGAGCAAAAATGATTTGCTGAAAATGGCATATTTTCTAGGGTCCGTGTAGCCTGTGGCCATATGACTTGACCACCAGATGGCACACACATACACACTGGTAAGGGAGTGATGTGGATAGTTGACAGAGGTCCAAAGGAATCAATCATCATCCCTGACTCCAGATGGAGCCAAATTCAGAAGTGCAGATTGGTAGGAAAAAAGATGAACAAGCAAGAATCAACTGTATATAATAGGTTTCAAAAGTTCCCAGAACAGTTCAATAACCATTTCCATGTAGTGGGACAATTGGAGAGAGGTCCTGGATGGAGCTATCTATTTAGGACCCACTAGCCATGGCCAACGGTGTCACTATGGTGAAGTGCTTAAATTAGGGTTTCCTGACAAAGAGCCACTAACACTATGGCTACAGCTGTTAGTTATTTGAGTCCATAGAATCACCCAGAATGCTTTTTATCAACACACTTTTTTTTTTTTTTTTAAGCTGAGCCATCCTGCTACCTGTTGGCAGCTCAGCGGCTGCTCAGCTCGGGCTGGGAATTGAACCACTGTTGCACAGAGCTCACACTCTTGAGTGAGTTCTTAACCAACTGAGTCACTCAGCCGGCCCTGGAATGCTTTTTAAAATGCAGCTACCTGGGCCCCATTTGGAGAGTCTAGTTAAGTTTGGATTTAGAGGCCCAGGAGCCTGCATTTTTACCAAGCATGACAGGTGATTGGGATGTAGATGGTCCTGGGTCCCCCTCCCCCGTCACATCTGATGTGAAAATTTTCTGGGAAAAGTATCAATCACTATTAGCAAATCCTTAAAGGGGTCTCTGATCCTAGAAAGGTTGAGAGCTATTAGTTTTGAGGCAAAAGTAAAATGTCTGGACCAGACAAATTTTGGGACAGAGAGAGAAGGGGACACACCCCATCTGGGGAGAGGCAGGTGATAGAAGAGGCACCAGGAAAGAGAGAGAGAGTGATCCAAAGACACACGAGGGAATCCAGTAGGTCCCCTGCCCTGAAGCTAATGGAGAAGAGAAGTTCAAAAGAGAAATGATGACAGACAGTTCCAAAGAGCTCAGAAGCAGAGTGCTACAGCAATGACAAGCCTGTCCCACTGTCCTCTCAGGATTCCAACTGAGCTGCCCAAAGGCTCCTTATACCTGGAAGAAGCTCAGATATACAGTATTATCATAATGTTAAACGTCACATTATTTATATGTGCCAACTGGGCGTTTAGAAAACTCCTGACCCTTCCCCGCTTCTGCCTCACAGGCCCTCTGGGAATACCTGTAGACAGCAACATTCCTGTCAATGCTGCACGAAAGGCTGATTTCCTGAGCCTGCCTCCAGCTCCCCACATGCAGAAGGGGACCCTCTGCTTAGGTTTAATGCTCTGTGGTTGCCGGCTAGAAACGCTTCATAATTTTATCTTTGACTTTGTGTTTTGTAAAGGAAGTCCGATGGGATGACGAGACATGTTCCAGGGACGTGGAGCCTTGGTCCGTATGTGCTGCTGCTTTCCCCTGCCTCCCCTGGACAGGTTTTCTGGGTGCTCCCCTGCCCCCCGATAGGGAGTGTTCTCCAGACTCCCCGCCCCATTCGACGGCTGCCACCCTTCCACTCTGGTGGGGGCCTGAGCATGAGTGCAGGGAACGCCAGGGTTGGGTGTGTGCCCAGCATGCCTGAGTCACAGGGTGGGGCCCCCTGTACCTGTGAGGGTCTGTACTCACTCGGTGCGTATCCCATGCCTCAGGGAGTCTGGCATTAAATAGCAAACAAAAAGTGCCTCCATAACAGGTTGAGAGTGAGACCATGAAAGAAAGGAGGAAAGAAGGAAAACCCTGCTTTTTAAGGGCCCCTGCCTTTCATTTTGCACTGGGCCCTGCAAATGATGTAGCCGGCTCTGACTGTCCCTATCCCACACTCCGAGCCAGAGTCGATTAGAATTGGCTAGATGCTTGATAATCATTGAGCCACTTAGGTTCTTCTTCTCCTTGAGATCCAAAATTGATCCACAATGCTCCTAGTCATGTAAACGAGAGGCTTTGGATGGCCATGCACAGTAAAAAAAAAAAAAAAAGTCAGTCTGCAGAGAGAAGAGAATGAAGTAGAGAGAAGCAGAGACGAGAGTCTGGGTATCGCGAGAAAGCCAGATAGACTGAGAGAGTGAGCGAGGAGCTGGGTGGGTTCTCGGTGGCTTTCCAGTTCCTGGTTCCGCCCCACTGGGGCCTGAATGCTATCCTGCTGTCCCTGGAACAGTGTCAAAACAAGTGTTACATGACCCAAGGCACCTGCTTCACATAGCAATGACCACAGAGGAAGTGGTTACACATTTCCCAAAGTCTTGCTGATGGAGGAAAAAAAAGCCAAAAACCCTCAAATAGAAACATTTCAGAAAGCGAAGTCTGGTTCTACTGCTTTAGGAAGAGCTAGTGAAAGGCCCAAATTCATAAACCTGATACACTCACGCCTGAAGCACTCCTGAGGTCTGAGGTCTGGAGTCCTGAGTCTCTCCCGCTCTCGCCCCAGCGAGGACTTCCTGGGACTCAGGCTCATGCCGCCGCAGCTTCAGGGCCAGACAGGAGCCCCGGCCAGAGGGGTGGTGGCCTCCCCTTCACCCTGGGAGTCAGCCATGTGTGGCTCTCCTTAAGGGATGGCCCGAGAGGGCCCAAGCTCTCACACTTAGAGTTGGAATCTACCAACACTAAGACCACCAGCTAGTTTGCTTGGGGAGGCTAGTTGAGTGAACACGATCAGATGCATTAGCTGAGAAGGGCCTGTCCATTTGTTTACCAAAGGTTGCACTGGCTACAGCTCTGAGGCCTCAGTTCCCATCCTATGATTGCTGGTACACCCACTGCAGCTATCCAGGATACCTGACTTGAAAAGGCATCTTTCCTCATACGCCCCCATTAAACTGCAGCTTTGGTCCAATTCCATTTATGTGGTGCATTTCAACTTTGAATTATGGCCCATGGTAACCTTAAAAAATTAGAGTAGGGATGACAAATAGGTTTTATTTCAAGTGCTAATTCTAATCAATTAATACAGCTTTATGGAGCAACAGAAAAGAATGACATGAGGTCACGCTCAGCAGCAATTGTGATGCATTATTGATGTCTGCCTGGGTAAAGGATAAGGAGTAGTGATATGTGCCATCACCAGGTTGGAGTCACTTGGCTGCAAGGAGAATGGGCACTGTCTATTTAAAGCACCTCGGTCCCGACAATCAGTTCAGCAATGTTACGGTTTAGAGATTTTCCAACAAGTCCAGATGTGGAAGCCACTAGAAGTGAAGGATAATTCAATAACCTGCCTTCTTCAAGATACCTGCTCGCCCAGAAGATGTCCTGGGGTTTCTAAGGCAATGTGGGCTCAGAGGTAAGATGCCTACACAAAAGCCTATGCTGTTTGATAAACCCTGCACCAGCAAAAGCCCCTAACTACTCTAGCTGGTGAATTGCTCTCATCTTCATTTGAGATGTCACAGGCTATACAGAACTACACAGCATCTATCCTTGTCTCCATAGCAACCACAGCTAGGTCCAGGAAAAGGAACAGGAATGGGGTCTTATGGCCACAGCTGGACTAGCCTCGAGTCACAAGCGCCTGCTTTTTCAAAGATGAATCTAATGTAAAAAGCTAGACCTTGTTCTCAGGCCCCATGCCCAGGGTCTGCCCTGGCAACCTTTCCTGCGGGCGTCTTCATGGGGCTCTGGACCAAGGCTCTCTCCCCTCCTCCTGACGTTGCCGATTCAGTCCTGGGTGCTGTCACCTCCTCACCCCCAATCCGCACAGCTTGGCCTATCCCAAGGTACCACCTCACTTTGTAATTTGTCCTTTTCACACCAAAGTTTTAATGGAAGAACTTTCTGTGTGAAAGGAGGCCCGATTTCAAGCTGGCATGACAGGAGAAGGTACTGGCTTTTGAAAACCATTTTCAGGTGTCAAAGAATACCCTCCTCAACCCGTTTCCAGTGTGGATTCGATCCCCTAGCCCCTGTCAATCTCCCCTAAGTGGTCTCAATAGCTCCATCCTCCATTCACTGAGCAGTCTGGCTCTCCTTCTATCACTATAAACATCAAAAAGGAAGAGGCTTTTCCTGGGCCTCTCAACGGGGCTTTTGTGCCTGTAATTCTATCCACCTGAGCATTTCTCTAGCACTTATTATTGTTACATGCAAGAACTCTGAAAAGGGGCTTCCCGAGATGGAAGAAAGGTGCTTAAGCTACAAGAGTTTCAGAATAAAGGACCAAGCTGTTCTAAAGATATTTAATTTTCTGTAAGGACTGAAATGTGACTTAAGTAATTCAATTAGTATTTACCCAGAAGCCACAGGATTACAGCTTTTCTCTCTGAGGCCAAACTAAGTGAAGGAGAGGCAGACTTGGACTTGGGGAAGTTTCTTTCTTACCAGCCCACCCCCACTCCCCATTTAATCACTTATTCAAACCCCAGGTTTAGTCATTCGACACACTCCCATTAAGCACCCACTGCAGGCAGTACTGTGAGGTACTGGGGAGAATACTGCAGAAAAGGGTGAGGCTTCTTACTAATTGATACACCCCACGCAGGGGTTCTCAGCCTACACCAGTGTAGCCCTGGGTGCAGGTGGGATGTGAACAGGACCTTCCTGGAGCCTGGGGCCACAGACTGAGGTGGCCCAACAATGCTGCAGATGGCTACGTCTTTGCATATCTTTTAAAGTCCACGAGAGCTGTGCATTTACCCCATACTAGACGTTTAAAGCAAAAAGAATTTCTCCCTGTTTCCTCGGAATGCTATACCCCCTTCAGAGGCAGAAAGTGCAGCATCTGAAATCAGGCTCTGTAGGTCCATCCTGGGGGAGAAGGGCACACACACACGAACAGGGCTCCAAGGTCTATACTTTTCCTTGTCCCCAGCTTCTGGAGGCAGGAGGCAGGCGCCCTTCCCCTCAGGCGAGATGAAGGACTGTCAGACTCAGGGGCAGACAATCACTTTGAAACCACTCCTCTCCTCCCCTGCCCTATATACTAGCCATTCCTTGTCCCAAGGCTGATGTGCCTTGAACTGGATTCCCTCCCTCTTGTATTTGTTCTTGATTCATTGAGTACAGGGGGCAGCATGGGACCAACAGCCAGTCCCACTTCGCACGTAGTAGGCACCACACAGAGCGCTCCTAATGAAACAGTGTCTTCTTGGACAACTCAGCGGTTTGCTTCTAGGGCTTCCCATTCATGCTATATATATATATATATATATATATATATATATATATATATATGATATAGGCAAACAATTACTTCTGGTAAAAAAAACACTATTCTCTGGTAAAAAGAACTCTGTCACTTAGCAAGGTCTTTCCCTTTTAAAAACTAATGGGAATAGGGAAAACATCTATGGCAGCAGTTCAAGGTACTACACGTTTCCCATTACCCAACACCTATTTATTTTCCATGCTATATTTCTATGGCAATACCAAAAATAATATTATTATTAGCATTTTTATATTTATATGACAATTGATTTTCAACCCATTAAAAACATCTGGTAAAAGTAAACCAACATGTATTTTTATAACCTGAAGTGTTGCTGGGTGTTCCTTCTGCCCCGGCCCTTGGCCTAGCACACATGTTCTCCTTGTGAGCAGCTCTTGGCCAGCTGCACGGCCAGCCTACCTGTCAGGCAAATCCCCTTGGTGCTGTTGCACAGGTCCAGCATCACTCGGATCTGCAGGGAGAGAGGGTGGTTAATAGTAGCACGGCCGGCAGTGGGCCCTGAACTTGCCCTTTATTCAGACAAGAAGATAGCAATTCTGAAAATTCATGAAGTAACTTCAGAAGAATATGCAGAAGTCCAAGGAAAAGTTCACCAAAAACAGAAGGGAAACCCTTAAAAGATCGAAAGATATTTAATATCAGAAGCTCATCTATCAACATTATCAATAGAATCTCCTTGATTTCTATCAAATTGGGAAAAGACAGAGGATGGTGAGGGAATTGCCAAATTCAACTTTCAAGTCTGTAATGAGGCCCCCGCTCCACTCCCCCACCCCAGTATCTGGCGGGTTCAATCTGTGAGCCTGAGTGAAGAGGGTCGGTAGGAGCGGTGGGAATTAGCACTCATTGGCTGGGCGAGCAGGGGTGCGGTGACCTCTTGACACTGGTTTTCTCTGAAAATGTAAATAACATAAACACCCGTGTTGGGCTCTGTCCCTGGCCCCCGAGGGTAGTAATCCTCATGCCATGTGGACACTGTCATGTGGTGGGGGCCACTGCAACGTGGTCTTAGTCTGATATCTGGTTCCCCCACACCCACTGCGCAGCCCTTTCCCCCTTCCATTCTCCATGCTGCTCCTAACGAGCTTCACAAAAACCAAATCTGATCGGGTCATCCCCGATTCAAACACTTTTGTGATTCCTTGCTGCTCTAAAGATAAAGCAAAAGTCCTCCTCCTCTGGACTCATCTCACACCACCCCTCCCCCCCTTTCTGTCCTCCAGTTTTACTCTGCTTCTGTCTGCTCGTCCATAAAATGGAGACAGTAGTAGTGCTTACTTCTTAGGATTGTTGTGAAGACTGAGTGAAATTATTCTATGTGAAGTTCCTAGAACAGTGCCTAGCATGTAGGAAGCACACACAAACATGTTTTCTATTTTATGGAGGCAGCAGAGTGTTGGATAGAAGCATGGATTCTAAAGTCAAACTATCTGTGTTCAAATCATGACTTTGCCATTCACAGGCAGTGTGACCTTGGGCAAGTTACTTAACTTCTCTGTGCTTTAGTGTCCTTGTCTGTAAGTAAAGCTCATATAGCATCTACCTTATAGAATGGCCATATGGATTAAATGAGCAGATACGAGCAACACACTTAGAATAGGAACCAACACATGATAAGCACACTATTTATTCTATTGTTTTGATGGTCCCATGAATTTGCCAGGAAGGACTTAGTTAATTTATCAATTTACCATCCAAGAATTTTTAATTTCTAGATACAGCAATTTTTAGACCCAAATAATGTGGCATTTCAAAACTGTGGGGAGAAAACAAATTAGTTAAAAAATAGAGTTGACACAACTGGATAGACATCTGGGGTGAAAACAAAATGTTGAACCCTTATTTCACTCCTTACACTAAATAAGTTAATTAAACGATATTGATCAAAATTGAAAAGTGAAAAACAAACTAGTAAAAGTACTGGAGGACAAGGGTGACTGGTTTGCTCAGTTGGTTAGAGTGTGGTGCTGATAACACCAAGGTTGCCAGTTTGATCCCTGCATGGGCCACTGTGAGCTGCGCCCTCCCTAAAAGACTCAACTATGCCATTGTAGCATGAAAGCAAAGTGTAACCAGTGACCATGGCTCCCCAATAAAATTAAAAAAAAAATACTGGAGGAAAATATTTATAATGGTATCAGAGTAAGAAAGACTTTCTAAGGAAACAACCCTCATACTATACAGAAGGTGCCAAAAATAATGTATACACCATTTAAGAAAGGAAAACTGTATTAAAATTGTAATACTCAATATATACTGATAACAAAAGATGAATACAAGTCATGTTTGACATCTGCACTTACAAGAGGTGCTCAAAGTGGTTACCATCAGCGTCCAGACACTTCTGATTACAGCAAACTATTGCTTGAGTGACCAAAGTTGACCAAAGTGTCCACGTGTATACATTTTTTGGCACTCCTGATATATATGTAGGTAGAATGTGATACATTTGACTATGCAATAATTAAAGATTTCTGCAAGAGGTAAAATTCAAGCAATAACAAAGAAGAAACACAAACCTAGAGAATAATTGCAAAGGGCTTGTATATAAAGAGCTGTTACGAAGCCATAAATAAAGGAACAAAAAAACCAAAAGAAAAATGGTCAATGGACCCAAACAGGAAATTCAGAGAAAGAAAAGAGTGCCTCAACTTCACTTTGAGTTAAAGAAATAAGTCCAAATGATAAAATACTCGTTTTACCTTTAGGTTTGATAAATAGGTAAATAAAAAGACTAACAGCATATATCACTAGGATGTCATGTTTAAAGCGGCACTCTTGCATTCTGTTGATGGAAGTATACTGTCTCTTTGGAGGGCATTTTGGCAATCTCTACTAAAATTTAAATGGATCTACCTTTTGATTCATCAATTACATTTTGGGTTTTGTTCTACAGATGCACTCATATATGTGTGAGGTATATATATATATATATATATAAGCATAAAGATGGTTGTTGCAGAAATGTGGGCAAGAGCAGAAACTGGAAACAACCTAAATATTTATCAGTGAGGTCTGCTTAAATAAAGTGTAGCATAGCCATATGAGGAAATACTGTGAAAAAAATTTTTTTTAACCATAAGGCTGATATTGAAAGATCTCCAAGATAAATGAAAAAATGCAAAGTACAGAGCAGCATGTATAACATACTTCCATTTATGTAAAGAAGTGGTGAACACACAAATACTTCTATATGCGTCTCTCTTGCCACTTTCAAGATTCTTTCTTTGCCTTTAGTTTTCTAGACTATTTCTGGAGAGAAATCTAAGAAAACTTCAAGTGAGGAGGAGCGGAGGGCCAGGTGGGATGGATTAGCACTGAGCATGATATGCCCTTTTGTTTTATTTGTTTCACTGATTACTCTTTCAATTAAACTCTTTTTAAAAAGAGCATGTTTTGATTTGAGGGGAATACTTGTTTTGTCTTCTATCTAGGTTTATTCTGTTTGCTAGGAGGTCCAGAGGAAAACTAATACGATATTTACTTTTTGTTAAGTCTGTCAACAAGTATTGACTGACTGCTTCAGAAATTTATTGTGAAATATATCGTATATCTCCCAAATATATAAAATGTATATGAACAATTTAAAGATGAATATTAAAACAAACATGTATATACCACCCCCACCTTAAAAACTGGAAACTTACAATGCCTGAGAACGTCCCAGGTGCTCTTTCCCATAACACACCCTTCCGTCCCTGCTCCAACAGCTCTCTGGGCTGAAGTATATTGGGAAATATTATTATATTCTCCCGTTTACATAGGTAAGAACATAGGGGCTTAGAGAGGTGGCATCATTTCCTCAAGGTCACATTGCCGGCTCATAGATGAGCTGGGCTCAACTCCAGGTTTTCTGATTCCAGGCCTACTACACTTTTTATTATGTCTCTGATGATTACCTTAACAACCAGACAGAAAAAATTTTCGATTCACTGTTTTTAGTCATTTTCATAAATGAATGCAATCAGCTGCATTACTGACAAATTTATTGTGTAAAAAATGTATAATTGCCCATTGAGAGAACCATTAAGGACTTTACAATGCTTCATTTGTTGCCTGGGGCATCACAGCAGGAGTACTTTGAAACAACAATAGGGAAAATTAGCCTTTCTCTTTTATACTCATCACTGGTCTGGGGTAAGCCCAGATTCTGTTAGAAAAAAAAAGAAGATGAAGGAGAAGTTTCATTTATATGCTAAATGTGAACGTAGATATTTACCAGTAAATTGTGTTACTCTTCACACAGGAATATTCTTTTAACAAACTTGGGCTGTGTAAGATTGCATCAAGGTGAAACATAAGGTATGAAAAGGTATGGCCACAAGGAAGTCAGAAACATTTTTTTTTTCCTGGTAATATTAAGAATTTGGATGAAAAGGGCCGGCCGAGTGGCGCATTGGTTAAGAGCTGGCTTGGGACACCAGAGGGCCCCGGTTCGGAGCCCACATATGAGGGCCAGTGACACTGCCCTCTACAGCTAAGATGCTGAACAACAGCTCAACCTGGAGCTGGGCTGCCATGAGTCACCGGCGACGGCGTAGGCGGCAGCCCCTGTGGCAGTGGGTTGCCGTGGGCTACCGTGTGTAGCCAGCAGCCAGCGTGAGCAGCCAGCAGCCAGCGTGAGCGGCCGTCCAAAAGCCGGTGACTGATCTGCCTCACCCGGGAAGAGCATAATGATGGTGCCAACTTGGGCCAGTGAAGCAACTTCCTCCACAACTAGACGGAAGAACAAAAGGACAGCAACTTGTCTGTTCCCCTTCCCCCAATTCCCCAATAAAAAAATCTTAAAAAAAAAAAAAAGAATTTGGATGAAAATAAGAAAATCCAAAACTGAAAGTCACAAAATCTAGACCATCAAATTAAGGGGTCACATTTGGCATAGAGGGCTTCCTAAATCTTGATTTAAGATTTGCAATGGTGAAGCTGAAAGAAGCCTGAGATCCCATTGTCCTGGGACTGTCTGGCAGTGCATTCAGGAGGTGTCCCTGCCTCGAGGCCATCTCTCCCCTGTCCTCTGCTCCAGTCACAATGGCCATCATCATAGAAGGGTCTTTACCGGGCCTCGTATGTTGTGCCTACATCTTCATTGAGGTTGTCACCTTGTGAGGAAGGCTTTCCCTGACTCCCCAACTAAAAGGAACCCCATCACCTCACCTGGCTTTTTGTCTCTGTGACACTTATCATTATCCAATATTGTCATGCCTGTATACACATTTATTACCTGTCTCCACTCCCCAAAGAATGAAGCATTTTGTGAGCAGGAAAACTTGCTCTCTCTCTCTCTCTTTTTTTTTTTTGTATCACTGAAGAGAAATGCACCTGGTTCTGTTGCAGGAGAAACTGGGAGTTCTTGGTAAACATCATGAGGAGGAATTCCAGGATGTACCAAAATATTAATCCAGGCAAACAAAGCCTGGATTAGCCAAACAAGCAGAGGATTTATTTATAAAA